CAAAGTGTTTACTGCCTAACAATGCCAAATTCTTTCTTTAAATGGTCCCAATGGATATCCTTCAGTTTTGGCTTAATAAGCTCGCATAAATGAATTTCTAAGTCCGTTGACCTCACGCAGGATCGSATCAAATGGAAATGCTTCCAATCTCTTTTGACAACCAAGGTGCCAGTTGTGGGGTGGTGGAATGAATACAACATCTTGGCAGCCAAAACAAAGTCGCAAGGCTCAGGGGGAACAGCTGGTGGGGTTCGTATTACTTGATGACACCCGTAACACTTTTGGATTCGGGTGCKATGAAGATGCTTCAGTATTAACTGGGTGTCATGCTTCTCTAAGCTTCCACAAATCGTTTGGTTTAAAGATGCAGCCGAACCGACAGTTGGATTAGTAGATGGATTATCAGTCTGCCTTCTTCGGCGTGGGCGGTTACCCTTTTGTCCTACGCATCGTAGGTTCAAGTTCATTGTAGCCTGCTTATGTTTGTTTGTTGTCTTGCCGTTTTTTAAATGCCAGTTCAGAAAAGATTTCAGCTGTTCATTTAGCTCAGKACAAGCTACAACGTGACTACAGATGGTATGAACGTTGTAATATTTGCAATTGCATTCAAATTTACCAGATTCATAAGCAGTTACCATTTGTACATCTTCAGGTGTTTCCATGCATCTTAAAACTGAGAACTTTAGAACGTTTTCTSTMWGACAAGGAGCGGGAAAAATAGATTTTTGGGAGTTTTCCAGTAACTTTGCCGCAGCAGCCCAGATCTGCTTAAGGGTATAGGTGTTAATATTAATACCTYCTTTTTCATGAGGTATACTGACAAGCCCACTATTTGCAAGTGATGCATTCATGGCATTTGACAAGTCTGAATGGGCGTTAAGCTCACAAAGAGTGATTGTATGAACTTTCTTAAGGAATGCTTGTCTTTGTCTGACAGACATTTTAAAATAATTGCTACACTTAAGCTGCTTGTTATAGTCAGAACGAACATAATATTTACCCCTGATGTCACAATAAGCCTTGTTAGCTTCCTCATTTTCTGCTCTTACAAAAGATTCCATTTCTTCGACAAATTTTGGCAAGCTTTTTTCTCTGAACCCTAACCAGTGTTTTAGTCGAAAATTATTACTTTCACAATCATTGGTGTAAAAAGGTACGGGCGGTGATCCCAAACCAGCACGCGTTCGGACTGAAGCAATCATGGACGATTTCATAACTGACTCTAGTGACTTAATGTAATTTATAAACTTTTCCGAAGGATCTAAGATTTTCCAACTAGTAGAAACTAACGACTCAAGTCTTTTATCAAAGTCGTTCTCATCGGCACTATCAAGAAGGGCATCATCACCATAAATGATGTCTTCAAGAAATNTAAACTTCCCTAGTTTAAAGGTTGGATCAACTGACATCGGCCAGTACTCACTATCATCGGTGCAAAACCGCTCTAGATCAAGTAGTTGTTGGTCGGTAGCAAGCACAATAAAAGGTTCGGGAAAATCTTTTATCTCTCGTATGAAGTCTTTCATATTGTTTTCAGCCATATCGCAGATTGACGATAATTCATCGGCTCCTTTCGATGTATGAGTGTTATGTACGTTATAACTACGAGATTTTAAGTCATGCAATTGTTTTGCATTCAAAACGTCTGCGGGATTTTGTATGTTTTGAATGCCACCCAAGTCGTCTATATTGGATGCAACCGAACGTGCTGCGTTAGTGCAGCTACTTGCTTTCTTAACTACCGAGGGTTTGATTTTGCAGTAAGTTCGACCACTCCCCTTTGCATTGCCATGTTTTTGCGGCTTTATGGCATGTGATGGACCGATAAAACTATATTGCAAAAACGCTATGTCATTGCAAATTTGATCTCTATAATTCATAACGTATACAATCATTTTTTTWAAATCTGGATAATGCTTGTTATGAAAGTACTTTCTTACYAGAACATACTCGCTTTTCGACAAAGTCTTTCCACTTGGTGTTCTCTTTTTAGCAATTAATTTGTATTCACCTTCAGTGGTCAAATTGAATAGGAATGATCGCACTCCGTCAGACAACCAGGAACTATGACCATCATAGCCTATATCAGACAAAGGCACGCCGTCTGATGACTTAGTTGAAATAAGGAATGAAAGATTGTCTTCGACAAGCGGAMGCAGTTTAGTGCACACTAACTTCATATTAGGCTTATCTACTAGTGTCTTAAAAAAGTCAGCATAAACAGGTGAATACCTCCCATGTTTAAAAATTGGCATACAGGGGTCATCCTGATAAAATCGCGCTTCGCCCTGATCTTCATTGCTGCTACACTCYTCACTTAATCCTTCTGAATCTTGTGGTGGACTCACGCTTCTACGGATTTTTTTGATGGTTCTAAAATATGAATAAGAGTAAGTCCTGACTATCTCCAATCGTTAGAMTATYTAGCTTTTAAATTCGCTGAGCTCGTGGGTCCACTTTAGCTTTTTTGAACATTTTATGAGATCGAGAGTATGTCAATAAGGACATACAACTCAAAACCTTGCGCGATTTTTTAAAATTTTACTGAAAATGATGTTTGTTGGGTAGAATYGCGATTTGATAGTAATTGACGACAGCGATTGCATGAACGAAACTYGGACTCAACTATGGCAATAGCGTGAGATCACGGGGCATGCATGCAGTCTAAAATCTAAATTTGTTCATACCACGATTAAATGGTTCGCACGATATAAACCAAAAAATGATTTAAATCAATTTTGATCTCCCAATTGGTTGTACTAATGCCTCAACAATCGTCATTCTTCCCGATAACCTTTTCTGACGGAAATCATAGCTATATTCAAAGAAGAAAATYTCTACCTTTTCGAACCTTTACTATTTTTKCTCCTTTTTGGACTTGTTTTTAGATTAGTCTTATCTCGTGAGTCCTATAATGTAAAAAATATGAATGCAAAAATTAAGGAAAAAACTAAAGGCGGGTAAATTGAAAAGTAGGCTAATGATGGATTTGTTTATACTTACAAACAAATTGCGATAAGGAAAGTTTCCACTTTTAACCTTCACCAGACCAGGCACACTGTCCTCCCACAGTTCTTCAGGCTCTGTCTCACTACTATTACTACTACTATTACTACTTATGATACTACTACTATTACTACTTATGACAAAACATTCTGGATGGCTAATTTCTTCTGTATCTTTGGTAACCTCAGCGGTTTCGCTATCACTGCTTAGTATAACATAGGTCCCGGAACATTCATTTGACTCGTTTTCACTAGTATCGTTGCTGATAAATGAAGCTGCAGGAACAAGGCCATCGAAATGCTCTCCACGCCTTAAAATGTAAAATTGTGAAGGGCAAGGGGATTCTCTAGGAGGAAAATCTGATTCCACAACGGCATTTCCACGAACATCGACAACACAAACGGTTGTTTTAAGGCAATTGGCAATTACCTGTAGAATGATGTCAACAACTTGTAAATTATAGTTGTTACTGTTGACATGATGGTCAAATTCCTCAAGTAAGTCCTCTCCGGTGTAAAATGCTTCATAGATTTCTCTATGTTGTAACAGTTCCCAACGACAACGTTCCAAAATCTGTTTGGAAGATATCGTATATCCATTTTGACGGAGGCTGGTTGTTACCGAATGGACAAGGCAATGGCCATCGCCTGGACTTCGCTCAATCTCTAAAGACTTTGATTCTAGATACCTTTTGATAGGAACCTTTATCCTTTATTAGACAAGAATTTCATATTAATTAGCTATTCYATTGTTATTGCAAAAGGYCGGGTATTTTTTTGTTAGCTTTGCAAGGGGTATTAAGGTCTTGTATTAAAAGCCACTTCCACAGGGAGCCCAAGCAATGATTTTGWATCGATAATAGTCAAAAATAAAATTTTACTTCTAAAAATGGTCTAATTTTATTTTATTTAGCATCACAATGCATTATAAACGGGTTTCGAAAAATTTCCCATCCCTATATATATAAACACTTCGAGTTCCAGAAAATTTTCTTTTTAATTGAGTGCTCTGAAAAATCAACGAAATAAATAAGAAAGATTTACTTAGAAAGCCATAATTCAAATTCTTAAATTATTTTTTTCCWTTTCACACAAGCTCGGTAGAAAGTTTGGCTTTAGCCATCAAGTATTTCTCACGAAAAGGCCCWGTATGTGACATTGTTTAGCGATTTTCTTGCGATTTTCTTGCGAAAAAAGAAATATTTTCAAAAACCAATTACACAGCGATTATTACCTAATCATACCTTATCTATATACAAAATATGAAGCGATTCGATTTTTCGAGCCTTGTCAAAAATTTTCAATTTTGTCTGGTTTTGGNGATGAAACGACCTCATTAACATCGTGAAGGATGTTCGACAATCGGTGCCTGTCTTAAAGTCAAACAGCAACAGTTCGGGGAATTCACACTTCCATAGTACTTGTTGTAGATTTTTTGTCGCATTTCTTGCGGCATATCGAAATCGAGGAAACTGAGGAAACTGAGGAAACTGAGGAAACTAAGGAAACTAAGGAAACACTCCAATTTACTAAAATAATTATATTTATAACTTAATTTGAGCTGGTATTAAGAAGGAAATATACATTTCAATGTTAGAATAGAAAGCTTACCTTTATAATTAGTTTTAACCCGTATTCGTTTGACTCGAGTGTGAGTGCCGTTTGCATCGAAAAAAAACCCACTGGTATTCATCAGTTACGTATCTCGACGACATCAGATTGACACTTGCACATTGTTATACCAATCTAGTTCCATTTCAACTTATGAAGAACTTGTCAACAGCGTTAAATAATGATTTTTGTGTCGTGAAATCTTCACCCATTTGGCTGCCATCTTGAACACAGGAAACCCAACATTTCAAGTTCAAACTTCACTTCCCACCCTCTTCCCCCTCATCTACTTTTTTCTAAAAACAATCAGGCAAGAACGAAAACAACAAGTGAACAATGAGCTTGTTTTTTTTTTTCACCTTTATTGATTTATGTACTTTTGTTTATGTGAATAGTACTTAAATAGCCTGCGTGGCGGCTCTATATATAACTTTAACTACAGAAAAAACCCAGGGTTTCTTGAATTTTTTTCAAATAGTTCCCAAGACAAATAGTACTTACAGTTTGCACACAGACGTCGCCATAGCTTTGCAATGGAAATTCGAGAAAGACCATGTGCGCAAAAGCCTCACTTTAATATGGGGATTGACATTTCATTTGGGTTCCCTGTGCACAACCGTTTGTTGTCGTTTACATCCGTTTACATATTTTCAAAGAATATCATCTTCTCATATGTAATACCTTATTTAAAGCTCATGTTTTTTGTTTGTTTTGTTTTTGTTTATTTGTTTTCGTTCTTGCCTGATTGTTTTTAGAAAAAAGTAGATGCGGGGGGAGAGGGTGGGAAGTGAAGTTTGAACTTGAAATGTTGGGTTTCCTGTGTTCAAGATGGCAGCCAAATGGGTGAAGATTTCACGACACAAAAATCATTATTTAACGCTGTTGACAAGTTCTTCATAAGTTGAAATGGAACTAGATTGGTATAACAATGTGCAAGTGTCAATCTGATGTCGTCGAGATACGTAACTGATGAATACCAGTGGGGTTTTTTTCGATGCAAACGGCACTCACACTCGAGTCAAACGAATACGGGTTAAAACTAATTATAAAGGTAAGCTTTCTATTCTAACATTGAAATGTATATTTCCTTCTTAATACCAGCTCAAATTAAGTTATAAATATAATTATTTTAGTAAATTGGAGTGTTTCCTTAGTTTCCTTAGTTTCCTCAGTTTCCTCAGTTTCCTCAGTTTCCTCGATTTCGATATGCCGCATTTCTTGGATTTGCTGTTCAGTGAGACCATCAGTTCGAGTAGGGCCAATAACAAGACGGTTCCATATCCATCCAAACAAGTACTTTGGGCTTGCTTTTCCGTGACGACTGAGCACGTTTCGGATGTAACGATGAATAAAGTCATCTAGTTCATTGTTTTCAACGGCTTTGACAATCATCTTCTTTGACGCATCGATGGCATTGAATACGTAAATAGTGTCACCAAATTCAAGATTGCCCACGTCCTTTATAATGAGCTGAAACGTGCCAAGCAAAATAGTTTCTGCAGTCATATTTTCGCTTGACCATAATACATCTTGGTGGAATATACGGACGTTATCGAATCCATAGTCGCGTGAAACTGCCGACCAACGTGCAGGGAAAATATCCCACAAGCAAACCTTGGATAGTTCGTGTACTGAAGAGTCTGCTTGGATACAGTTTTCCTTGTGTTTATGCCAGTGAGTTCTCTGACAGGTTTTTGAACAGTAGGATGCTTGTTGGCAGCCAGTACATCGCTTAGTATCACAGTTTTTCTGGCAATTGTAGCAACGACCAGGAGCCATGTTGGACAAAATGCGCCGATGTTCCACACAGCCCGAAATGGATTGTGC